AGATGGGTCGAAGTTGATTCAAATCTCCTTTCAAACCACGCTCTGAATTTCATCAGACCATTAAAAGCTTCTTCAGTAGAAATTTCCTTTGGAAGAGACTCACTTGATTCTTCATCTTCATGAATAGAATTTTCTTCGCTTAAATCTTCGGCTTCAACTTGATTTGACGATGTAATTCTGAAACAAAAAAATTTAATTTTATTAAATAATTACAAAATGTCAAGTATAGATTCACAGGTTTTTTAATTTATACCTTTCGTAAATTTCTTAGACATCTAAAATTTTCCATCCATTCACTTGATAGTCCTCGACGATCCAATTTTTCGCAACTTCAAAAGTGCAGTCAGCATATTCAGGAACACTTTGGAGTAATTGAACCAATTGATTGACGTCTTCACTCGATACTTGATTGTTTTGTTCAGAAGTAGCCCGGCCGAAAATGCTATTCCACGAATTGCGAAGGTCCTGCTCAGTCACCAAGTTCCAAGAGCTCGCAATGCGGTAGCAGCAATCTTTAACTGTCTGCTTTTTAGCCAACTCGATGATACTTTCTCCTTCCTGCTGCAGAATCAGCTCTCGTAGCAGCTTCTTTCTTAACATTCTCTTCATCTTTTCAATAACCCCCTGATCCATAGGTTGAATCAGGGCTGTCACGTTTGCAGTCAAGAATAACACCTGTACTGTATCATTGATTGCGTTCAACTCAGCAGCAGGCGGATGCGACGGAGCGTTGTCAAGCAGTAATAAAACCTTTCGGCCTTCTGGATGTTTCTCGTGTACCTCCTTGATGAAAACGTCCTTGAACCAATCCATGAATAGTTTCCTATCCATCCAAGCTGACAGGGAGTTCATGTATGTTACCGGCAACTTCTCTTTCTCGAACTTCGCAAAACATCTCGGATTTTTTGATTTGCCGATAACCAAAGGAGTGATTTTGTGTGTGCCCGATGCATTGGCGCAACACATCACTGTCACACGCTCTTTCAGCTCCTTAAATCCCGGTACCTGTTTTTCAGTGCCAGCTGCTAATGTCTTCTTTGGCAATGATTTGTAATGCGCACCAGTTTCATCGGCATTGTAAACTTGATCTTCTTCGTAGCTATTTTCTCGAAGATAATTTTGGAGCCATATCTTGAATTCGTCTGCCGCAGTGGTGTCAGACGACAGTTTTTCACCTTGCATCGATAATTGACGGATGCCGTACGTTTTCTTGAAGTGATCCAACTAACCGTTGCTTGCCTTGAAGTCACTTGGTCCTCCGATGATTTTATTGACCTCCAAAGCCTTGAGTTTGAGAAGATCACCCGTTACTGGAACTCCTGCGGCGCGCAGCTGCTTGAACCACTCGAACAAAACCTTTTCTCGCAAATTTTCTTCGACACGAATTCTTTTGCTGCTCAAAACTTGCTGGCTATCATCCAATTCTTGGGCTCTCTTCAGTATCGCCGATCTGCTCGTCTTGATTCTCCGGATAGTCGAGGGATCAACACTGTACTCCACGGCTAAATCCTGCGTTTTTTCTCCTTTGTCAATTTTTGTCAGAATATCTCTCTTCTGCTGCACTGTCAAGTTAATCTGCTGCTTCCTAACTCCTGTGGATTGCTGGTTCAACGGTGTGTTTTCATCAAAACTAAATCGCTTGATCGTTTTCGGCGACACATTGTACTCTTTGGCAACGTTAGCCATCTTCTTCTTTTCAAGTAGCACCTTCCGTTGTACATCAGAAATTTGAGATGAAGTCAAACTCTTCGCCATAATAATCTGAAGAATAGAAAAAAAAGAAGTTCAATAAGTATTCATAAACTCAATAATGAATAAAGGAAAAAATTTAGTATTTGAAATTTCAAAATTGAATAAATAAAAAATATATGTATGCTACTTACATCTTCAAAATGAATATTCACTTTAAAACACTCAAATTTCGTACATATTTATATTTATACACAAATATATGTATGTGTGTATATAACTATATGTATATATTTATGTACGATTTACATGTACATATACTAAAACTCCATTGAATATTATACGAAATATAATGTTTACGTAGAGCGCAAACGAAAATGTGTAACTTGCCACTGCGAGATTAAACATAGACTGAACACAGAAATCTTACTAATAGAAGCTAGAAGCAAGAGAAGTAGAGAGAAGAAGAGAGCGAAGTCATAAACTTTAAATCGTTTTATTATCTGCGCCTGATCAGAGACATTACCTGCTCGGTAAAGAGGGCCCCCCCGATGAGTGGGCTACTAATGACGGTACTGCGCAACGTGTAGTTTCTAGGGTATAGAGGCGCGCAGTGACTCGGGCAATGCAGTGCCGAAGGGTGCAGTGCCGTAGGTTCGACTGTAGATACATTCTCCCACTTTCATTAGCGCCACCAAACGAAGGATCGTCCTACTATGACGTATACACGACCGTGATCGCGACTAATTCCTCACGCTTGTAGACGTGTACGTACCTTAATACGTGAAAATCTCTCTCTCTCTCTCTCTCTCTCTCTTCCTCTCTTTCTTTGCATACTATTGTGTTTGAGAATAATATTTCCAGGAGCAAACTTGAAAGTACACTTGTAATTTGTTGTATAATATTGTTTAAGCACCAAGTGTAAAATCAGGTAACAGTAGGTGGATAGTTTTATAAAATATAATCTCAGTAATTTCTGTTAATACCCAAGAATTACAAAATCACAGCATGGAAATGTCATAAATTTTAGATTTGCTAATTCTAACTTGAGTGAATTTCCAATAAAAGGTAAGACATTAAATAATGATTTTTATAATTGAGTTGAAAGTAATGTACGTATATCCTATTTTTTCCAGATTTACAAAGTGTACAAATAAAATCCATGTACAAAGTTGAAAAGTATTTATATCTGGATTGTTATGAGTATAATGGATGTAGATGATCACATTAAACAATAAATAATAATAGTGATGTAATTAGACAATTTTGGTCTCCGTCTACAAGTCTTTAAAAAAAATTGATTGCAGATTCATATTGATGAAAAGGTAAGAAATAAAACAAAATATTTGCTTATTTATTTAATTGTTGTGCAATATTTTATAAGTGGAGTGATAATACTAAGTATTTGTTTTCAATTTTATTAATTGTGAGATTATATTATTTGTTTGTTTTGCATGAAAAATAAATATTGTTAGAATGAAATTGTTTTAAAATATACCGATTGATAATTGAAGAAAGGAGTGCGGTTTGAGTTTCTCATCGTGCGATGACTTTATCAAACAACTTCATGTCGTAAAAATTTATTTAATCACACTTGAGAACAGAAAGCTTGACATAAAGTTTAATATTCATAGAATCTTGATATTTTTCTGTTTCTCATGAGCCGTAACTATAACAAAATTTTTTTGCAAGCATAATCCAAAATGTCTAATCTTAATATAAAACAAAGCTAATTTATCATTTTAACCCATTAACGCCTGAACGGACGCTCGACGGACGCTTTTTTGAGCGACAGGTTTTATCTGTTTATAGGTATGAAAAAAATTTGGGAAAAACATTTTCTAATGTTAAATTTCATCAGCTTTCCGATCCTGTCATTTGTTTTTCGATTAAACGAAATCCCTAATCGTTATAAACAATTTATTGAAAAAAAACATGAAATTTCGAGTCAAATTTTTTTTTGTGTCGCCTGAAAAACATGGAAATCGTTCGCAACGAACCCCGGAAAGTGAATTTCCAGCGTCCATGATGTTTGAACTAAAAGTTGACATGGTTGTATTTGTTTAAATAATTTTTGGAATATCCAAAATGGCGGCTGGAAGAAAAAATTCTGACTTCAAACTTGACCAATTTTTTTCTCAAAATCTATCGATTAAATCAGAAAATTCTTAAGAATAAAAAAGTCTTAAAATCGCTCAAAGAATACGACTAAATTTTTTCAGAATTTTTTTGAAAATTTTTCGAAATTTTATTTTTAAAAATTTAAAAAAGATACAAAAATTGATTTAAAAATTCTGAAAAAATTTGAGCGTGTTCTTTGAGCAATTTCAACTTTTTTTTTTCTTGCGAATTTTTTGATTTAATCAATAGTTTTCGAGTAAAAAATTATTTTTCATAAATTTTGAATTACTTTATTTGGTGTCAACTGTGAAATAGCGAAATCTTTCGAATAAACCCCGGAAAGTAATTTTCTAGATTTCAAGAGTCCTAAAATATGTTATCCGTTATGTAATATAAAAACATGAATACGTTATGAAATAATTATTGATTCACTGGTTCTAACAGTATAATTGAAATGATTTTCATATGAGTGAAAAAATTTTTATTTCCGATAATAAATGTGTGACACCCGCATTATGTCAGATCCCTACATATTATAAGGTAAATTTTTTCATTTATTTCTAAAATAATTTGCAAAAAAATAACATTGTAAATGCATAGGTCATAAATCTGCAATCATAATTATTGCGATACGTAATTGTTGTAGAACACTTTTGTTTATCTTCTATTCAATTTTTTTTTTCTGAAACGGTAAGTATATTAATTTTTTATCATCATTATCAAGTGCAAAAGTATGTCACCTTCATCAAGATCAAAAAGACCAAAACAAAATTGTGATGACGTGTTTGAAATAGAAGAACTGGAAGATGGAACATCCCGATCTATTTTTCTACCTTCTAATGATTCGGGAAGTTCAGATAGCGAATCGGATTCAGAGCTGGATTTTTTTGTAGATAGTGCTGGGCAAGTTCCAAAACAGAGTTATAGTCAGATTCTCAATGAATATGGTGATAACCAAAAGAAACTCGAGCCAAATCATGACTATGAATGGATAATAGGTGAAAAACGGTATGATGCGCCTTGTAATAAGTGTCTTCTTTCAGATGCTACGCGAACAAAATTGCAAAACTGTCTGCTCTTCAATTATTTGAATTATTTTTCTCTCTTGAATTGCAAACTTATATTGTGGATAGTACACGCACTAACGGACTTGACATAACTTTGAATGTGTTACAAGTATTTTTGGGGATAGTCATCATTTCTATCGTCAACGGTCGAAAATCAGAGAGAGATTATTGGAGCACTAATCAACTTCTTCGTTGTGAACCAATTGCATCAACGATAAGTAGAGATGACTTTATAAAAATAAAACGTTATATAAAACTGAATAAACTTGAAGATGCTAATAATGAAGACAAAGTTTGGAAAGTAAGAAACGTTTTGGAGATTTTTCGAAAAAACATAGCTCAGTTTGGTTTTTTTTTGCACAGCATTGAGTATTGATGAGATGATGGTGAAATTCCATGGGAGGGCACCTGCTCTACAATTCATGCCCAACAAACCCGAAAGGTTTGGGATAAAAATGTGGGGTATCTGTAGCGTTGAAGGTTTCTTATTTGACTGTGACATATATTGTGGACAGGGCTCCAACATTTTTTCTGCGGATGGCAAAATGAAATTGGGTAAGTGTTCAATAGGTAGTCGTATAGTAATGCTTATGATTAAAAAACTTCTTACTTCGGTCGGCCTAAAAAAAATAGTTGATTATCATCTTTACTTCGATAATTATTTTAGTAATCCCGATCTCCTGGTTCATCTGAAGAAATTGGGCTTGATGGCGACGGGCACCGTAAGAGCGGACAGAATCAAAGAAAAAAATAATTTAGAGAAAAAAGCTGAACGTGGTACTTACATTGTCAAACACGAAAAAAATTCTGGTATGAACTTTATAACTATTATGGACTCTAAGCCCGTTTCCATTATTTCGACAGCTGCAGGTGTTACTCCCTTACAATCAATCAGTCGTTACTCAAAAAAAAATCACAATAAAACTAACATATCGTTTCCAATGGCATTTTCTTTGTATAATCGAAACATGGGTGGAGTTGATCTTCACGATGCACACTGCAGCAATTTGCTTCCAGGTATTAGAGCTAAAAAGTGGACATGGGTAATGCTATGCCGTTTTATACAATCATCGATAACAAACGCAACAATATTATATAATTTATTACATAACACTAAGAAAGGAACTAAAGAGATTTCCTTGGAACTTGCAGCAAACTACCTTGCCAAAGCAAAAATTCATGAAAGTATTGTTGCTGATAGTAAGAGAAACTGTGAAAACATAAAAAATTGCGGTACAAGAACTCAAAAAATGTGTGTAACGTGTAATGTATACTCCTGTTCTAAGTGTTTTCCTATTTTTCATA